AAATTTGACTGATCTCGCAACCACCATAAAAAAATTAGGAAATAAACATAAATTATGACTTATTCATTCTAGAATAAACACAAATTATAACACGAAAACATAAATGTTTAGATGAAATAGCTTAAATCTCATAACATTATACATTTATATATATTTATTATTTTTATTATATTGACCTTTCACCCGTGCCTGGCTAACAATACAGAAGTTACAACAACGTGGCTCATCTGCACTCATGTTACTGTATCAAGTAACATAGAGGTGACCTTTGGTCTGTACAAAGTAACTTATCTTGGCTGTGTTTTAGTCAACTAGTATTTTGTAAAATACAGTCATATTTCAATTATTATACATTATATATGTATATAGCTTATTGCTATTTTGAAATAAGTTCTTAAAGTTATTTTCCTAAAACATAGAATAGTAAATAAAGAAGTAAAGCAAACAATTATCTCTTTTGGCTACAACCTTTGTACTCAGTTGCTGCTTGACATAGGTTGCTAAGCTTTTAAAATTTTTCACTTGGAGGATATGAAACAATGTTTTTTAGGTTTTTTATATATATACTTTTGGATAACTAAAAAATCATAAATTACTACATCAATACTATCGAATTCTACTATAATTCATCAACCTCAGTAACTAAGCTGTATTTGGGTCTAAAAAAATATGAAATTTCGAGCAGACTAAAGACACAACCTACCTTATTGAAATCTTGGTTCAAAAGAAAGAAATGTTGTTAGGTACATGGGCTGAGAAAACCACTAGAGGACATTCTGAGCTTCCGATTGGTTATTCATGTCATACATAGAAGTAAGTGTATATAAAGGAGCGTTTCCAAAAATGGAAAGAGGTGAGCAGAGTGCCACTGTGTTTGATTTATTATGTGTGCAATATCGTAGCAAATAGAAAAGATAAGACCTTCTTATTTAATACTCTAACTGTAATTTGAGTTTTTAATTCGTATCAAATTTAAACTTAGTATTTTGACTTCACAAACATCAAATTTGAACCAGTGCTGCATTCAACATACCACATGACACACAAAAATCGATGTTTATCTGTGTTTTTTTAATGTTTACTTTTAAATTAACAAATTAAGCAATTATATAGTTCAAAAATTTGAATTATAATCTACAGTTTGATACTAAACTTATTGACATAAACTCATTAAATAGTAGTTCAATAAAATTTTGAATGCGAGTCAACAAACAAGATGACATGGCCATTCACCTGTGACCCATATGAAAAGGGTTAAGCTTTGTTACAACATAACTTGATTAAGCTTATAACGCTAGTTACCTTATAATTCTTGTTATTCTCCAGTTATGATTTAAAGCATTTGTTTAATGTCATAACACTTCATAAAATACCTGGAGTCACACCATATTATTGAAGGGCTAAAATGTGAGGAATTTTCATCAAAATATGATTTTCAATATAAAGTTGTTTGCATTCAACGCAGATCAATTACAGTTGAAATATTCCGTGATGATGGTGTCCATACTAACTTTTCTACTATTACAAAATAAGTTATATCTCACATGGATCGAGCCTAGAGACTGTCTTTTTATTTCTCAATATTGCTACATTTTTTTTTTTCCAGTCGTACTTTTATGTGGTCAACTGGAGGTGTCACCTGTGTGGCTTTTGCTGTTGGTGCCTTAGCTTGGTGGGCTCCTTCCTACATGACGTATGCTATCAGTGTGAATGGAAACGATGCCGATAAAAATATGTGAGTGAAAAGCACGATTACTTGATGCTTCATTAACCAAAGAATTTGTTGTTTTAATAGTTTATATGTTATATCAAAATAAATAGGCCTTTTAATGACTTTTTACAAACAAAAAATACATACTTTTATATGCTCATATATCTTGCGTATATTGGAATTTTTAACTTCTATTTTAATGAATGTTTCGATACTGCTGTAACCAGCCTTTGTTCAATTTCATTTTTTCCATTAATTGATGTAGCACTACAAACATTTTTGAGCTTCAATATTCATCTACTGATGATCCAACTGTTGCAGCTTATACAGTCAAAAGTTTAGCATTAGAAAAAAATAATGTTTTCAACAATTTCAGTGTTGTTTGTTATTATTAGTTCACCTATAACCAGTAACACTGCTATACGGCCAGTGACACCACTGTAAAACCAGTAACACTGCTATACGGCTGGTGACACCACCGTATAACCAGTGACACTGCTATATGGCCAGTGACACCACTGTATAACCAGTAACACTGCTATACGGCCGGTGACACCACCATATAACCAGTAACACTGCTATACGGCCGGTGACACCACCATATAACCAGTAACACTGCTATACGGCCGGTGACACCACTGTATAACCAGTAAAACAAGATTATGGGAAGAAGACTTTATCACTTTTTAATTACTTTGCAGATCTTATTCCAATAATTGATGGGAACGCAGTGTAGTTTAACTTGTTTCAAGATTGCTTATCTATGAAATAATCTGTTGTTCTTTTTAAAATCTAGACCTATGTCTCATTTAGCAACCGACAGATTCTCCTTAAAAACCCTAAAATCTTGTGAACTAGAGGAGTATTTAGTATAATTAACTTTTTATTTCATTCTGTTTTCAGTTACATTTTAATTATAAGATTATAAAGTGATATTACTCTTTAGGCTATTTGTCTTTGATTTCTACATCAACTGGGTAATACCAGTTTAATAACCTAACTGTATACACACTGCTGAAAAATTCAAGCTGCTTGACTAGTGGATTCAGATATAACAATAGTCAAATGGGTAACACCTCGATATTTTTAAGAATACATAAATAATCTTATTTTATTGGTAGTTTAATCTCATTATTTATTTTATGCCAAATGTTCGTGTTTGTTTACTTTTCTCACATTATAATGATATTTTTGAAATATAATTTGTTTTTTATGCTATGATAAATAGACAACTAATGCAACCCAATTATTGCTAAAAAAAATAGTTCAATTACGTTTTTGAGATGGATACAAGATAATCCAAAGAAAGAGGATAAAATGTTTTACAACTCTAGTGGCCTGTGATTGGTTTATATTTGTTTTGTGCTCACTCAAAACTTAGTGAAGAGGGACTTCTAACAGTAAACTGTGGGGTTAAAAATTGTTAGGTACAAGTAAAGCCATAAATTTCTTTTCACTGGTGTTATTTGATTTATTGATTCACACGTAAATCTTACTCTCTTTCAAAAAAATCAACTATTCATAAAACAAAGAAAGATATGAGCATTGAATCCAGTGGTCAGCATTTACCCATAATTTTGTCTCACGATTTAATGTTGACAGATAGTTTCTAACTATGAAAACTGTTATCTAAAATTAATAATAAAATATTTGTTCTTAGCTAAAGTTTTCCATCTATGTGTAATTTCCAGTATTCCATCTAAAAATTGAAGTCTTAGAATTAAACGATACCATAAGTAACAACTTATGTTAGGTAATGAAATTATGTTTTCTCTGCTGTATTTTTGTTTATTTTTTTTCACCCATATGTCTCTAGATAGACTGTTTTGGTACCACATTAGTAAGTTATGCTGTTGAAGTGTCACTTCTATAGTAAACTTCAAAAGTTTAGATTTTCCCACAAATTTTAACCACAAAATAAGTACAGATCAATAATTCTTTTTATTGTAGGAATAATTCACTTGATTGTCCAAGAAGAAACCTTGATGTCAAAAATGTCTTCACTGTATATAAATTATACTTTGTATAGAAAAAGTTAAGTTCTTTAAAAAAAATTAAAATTTTTTGTAATTTTCATCACAAAGATTGAGGATTGAGTCTTTTATAACTGTATCACATTATCATGACACTTCTGTGTTGGCTTCGTTTCTTACAGTGTTTAATTATTTTTATCATTTTTAAGTGTATTATTGTTTGTTGTTATCTCTGTGCTATTGTAACATACCAAGATAATTTTTTGTTTCGTTAATGAACCACAATACTAGTTATTTCATGCGTATGTCAATATTTCAAGGATTTATACGTACTGTTGAGAAACAATGTCACAAAAACATTTTTAATGAGCTTTCTCAATGTTTTAGTGCTTCTTAAACTTCTTCTTTGAATGTTTTTAATCCTTTCTGCTTTCATTTTAAGGAGAACCGGTATGACCACCTCGATTCACTGATATTAAAATCTGGTCTATATCAATGTTGTATACACTGAATTCCGTCGTTTGTGTATGAATAAATATCTTTCTTCTTTTGACACGTTGTTTTAGTTTCTCGGAAATAGCAAAGTTCTTGCTTGTTTTGTTTTTTCTGTGACTATTCCAGTTTGTTTGTTTTCTTTTAATAATACCCTACCATGCAACATAATCTTTGTGTAATGTTGTTTTTATCCTAATGATAAACCAATTTTTTCAGGGTCAATTTTATATTTGGAGTAATTACGTGTGTAGCTGGAATAACTGGTGTAATTCTGGGCTCGGCAAGTTCACAATACTATCGTCGATTCAGCGCTCGAGCTGATCCAATTGTTTGTGCCTTTGGTGTTTTAGGCAGTGTACCTTTAGTGTTTGCGGGTATTGCTGTTGCCCACATTAACATACTTCTGTATCCTGGGTAAGCTTTGTAAATTACTAGTATATTGTGTGTGTGTGTAACATACTTCTGTATCCTGGGTAAGCTTTGTAAATTACTAGTATATGTGTGTGTGTGTAACATACTTCTGTATCCTGGGTAAGC